TTGGAAGAAGTGCAGCCAGAGTGCTCCGTGGAGGCCAGGATGACCAAATTTTGTCTCTCATACTTCGGACATATTGTCAGGAGGAACCAGTCACTGGAGAAGGATATCATGTTTGGTAAGGTATAGAGTCAGAGAAAAAGAGGAAGACACCTAACGAGATGAATTGGCCAAGTGGCCCCACTGATGGACTCAAGCATGGCAACAGTAGTGAGATTGGCCCAGGATCAGGCAGTGTTTCATTCTGCTGTGCATAAGGTCGCTATGAGTCGGTACCGACTCAATGGCACCTAACAACAACAACAATAACATCTTCTAGTGACTGTATGCTTTTCCTGCTGTTCTTTTCCTAATTGTTGGCGATGTTGGGTTAAGGTTTTTATTTGTACTTTTTAAAAAAATTATTGTATTAGTGCTATAAATTGTCCTCTGAGCATTACTTTTGCTGTGTCCCAAATATTTTGGTATCTTTTGTTTTCATTCTCATTTGAATAAGGGGTTTTTATTTCTTCTTTTATCCAATAGTTTTTAAGGAGGTGTTATTTGGTTTCCATGTATTTTAGTTTTTCCCTTTATCTTACTGTTGATGATTTCAATTTTATAATGTTGTAATCTAAGAAGATGCTTTGTAGTATTTTGATGTTTTTACACTGATTGAGGCTTGCTTTGTGACCTAACATATGGTTTATTCTGGAGATCATTCTATATGTCTAGAAAAGAAGGTATATTGTGCTGTTGCTGAATAGAGTATTTTCTTTATAGACCTATAAGATTTAGTTAATTGTGTTGTTGAGATCTTTTGTATCTTTGTTGTGTCTCTTTCTAGTTTTTTTCTGTCCATCAAAAGTAGTTTATTTAAAAAGTCTCCTACCATAAATGTGAAGTTGTTTATTTCTTTTTTCAATTTTGTTAAAGTTTGATTTATGTATTTTGGGGTATTTTTCATGGATTATGTAGATATTTATTATGGTTATGTCCTCTTGTTGAATTGATTCTTTAATCATTTTATAATGTTCTTGTCTTATGCTGGTTTTCATCTTAAAGTCTGTCTTGTCAGAAATTAATAATGCCACTCCTGCCTTTGTTTGATTGCCGTTTTCATGATATATGTTTTTCCATCCTTTGATTGTTAGCTTATTTTTGTATTTATATCTAAAGTGTGCCTCTTCTAGACAGCTTATTGATTACTCATACTTTCTTATCCATTCTGCTATTCTCTGTCTTTTGACTGGTACATTTAATCAGTTACATTCAGTGTAATTATTGATAAGCATGAATTTATTGCGACTGTTTTGCTGTGAGTTTTTTATTATTGTGTTATTGACCATTTCTTCCATATATTTTTCTGTCCTGAGTTCATTTTGTTTATGTGTTTTCTTATAATTCCTTTGTTGTTGTTTTAGTGTTTACTGAGACCATGATTTTCTTCTTTTGGTGAAAGGTTTATTAATTTTCTTTAAGGCTCTCCTATAATTTATTATTATCTTCCCAAGCTTAAAACAGTCCATTGTTGCTTGATATAATTTTGACTTTCTCTCCATTTGGAAGTTCTATAGCTATATAAATTAGTTCCTTTTCTTCTTTCTTTTTTTTTAACCTTATAGTTGTCATCATTTACAAATTGACATCTGTTTCCTTATATTCAATATTGTAGGTTTACTTTGTATTTGATACATCTATATTTATAGGGTCAATTTTGGATTATGTTGTCAAGGGTCTTAATCTCCATTTGTTGTCTGCCATTGTTGGTTCTTGTACAAAGGGCTCCCTTTACCATTTTGTATAAGGTTGGTCTGGTTTTTATTAACTCCCCTAATTTTTGTTTATCTGTGATTGCCCTAAATTTGTCATTGTATTTGAAGGACAATATTGCTAGATATGTAATTCTTAGTTGGCTTTTCTTTTTCTTTCAGTGTTTTATATATGTTATCTCATTGCCTATTTGCTTGCAAGGTTTCTGCTGAGAAATCAGAGTATTACTGGTTCTCTTTTGTAGGTAATTTTTCATTTTCCCACACTATTTTGATGGCTCTTTCTTTGTGTTTGTCTTTGAGAGGTTGATTGTAATATGTTTTGGTGAACCACCAAGGGATCTATTCTACTTGGGCTTTTTTGAGCTTTTTAATATATCTTATCTTTCATAATAAGTCTTGGTATGGCACTGTCGACTAATGTGTCAGATTGCAAAGTCATTTGAACTGCAAGGTCGGTGGTTCAAGCTTACCAGCTGCTTCTTGGAAACCCTATACAGGGTCACTATGGGTCGGAATCGACTTGATGGCACTTAACCACAATAGCAACATCTTTCATAATATTAGGGAAGTTTTCTCCCAACAAATCTTCAACAGTTTTCTCATCTCCTATCCCTTGCCTCTTTCTGTTCTGAAGTTATTCCTGTTGATAGTGTTTCACATAATATTTAGGCTTTTTTACTCTTCTTTCGTTTTATTTTTATCTGACTGTTTCTCTAATAGAATAATGTTAAGAGATTTGCCTTTAATCTTGCTAATTTTGTCTTTCATTGATTTAATTCTACTTCTTTGCACTTCCAAAATGTTATTTATTTCCAAAATGTTTGTATCAATACTTCTGAATTTCTATTTGCTATTTTTGTATGGTTTCTAATTTTCCATTTATTTTATTAATTTGTTCTTGCTTTATATTCCTGAACTTTGGTCGAATTTTGTCTGCATTTTTCTTAATTTTGTCTGTGTTTCCCTTGATCTCCCTTTCAAGCCATTGAACATACCTATATATAATTCTCTTAAATTCATTATCAGGTAGTCCCAATAGCATTTCTACCTTCAGAAGATTCTCTGACTCCATATTTTAGTCGCTTGTTTGAGTCATTTTGTCCTGTTTTGTTTGTTTGTGCGTGTGCTTGATTGTGTCTATTAGTTGTCTATTGTGTCCAAGATATTGTGCTGTTATCGTGTTAATTTGTTGATGGTATGTTAGCTATTTTGTTTTGTTTTGTTTTATTTTGATATACATGGGAAATGGGGCAGGTATGTGACTCTGGTCATTAGTTTGGCCACTGGACTTCTCACCACCTATCTTCAGGTGAATTTGGTAGTGGTTGGGAGTGTGGGCATGTGGCTCTGCTTACTGATCCTGTAGGGAAGCTGAGGGCAAGCTAGTGGGTGTTAGTCCCAATCTATCATTGATTCAGTGGGGCTGAAGTGAGTGTTGGCCTTGCTCAGTGGGTAAGGTAGCGGGTATAGTGGGTATGGCTAGGTAAGGTTGCTGGCTTCTGATTGCTGGGTAAAGATAGAGAGAAAAAGGGGGGAGGGGCAAGGAATTAAAATAACACAGATAAAAACAAGGGGGGAGAGAGGAAGGACTTAGAAAGAAAAAGGGAAAAATGCAAAAAGAGAAAAAGAAAGAATAAAGCAGTAGTACAGTACTGGTACAATGTTCCACTGCTTGCAATAACTCAAGATGGTCACATGTGCCAATTGGCTCCACGGGAGCACTCATCACTGAAAATAGAGTCATGGGCGAGTGAGCACAGAAGTCAGGAGGAGGGGGATACTTGCCAGATGGAATAAAGAGGAATTGTTGTTGTTGTTATGTGCCGTGGAGTTGGTTCTGACTCATAACGACCCTGTACAGGGTTTCCAAGGCTGTAAATCTTTACGGGAGCAGAAAGCCTCATCTTTCTCAGGTGGAACAGCTGGTAGTTTCGAACTGCTGACCCTGAGGTTAGCAGCCTGATTTGTAACCACTACACTACGCTAGGAAAAAAAAGAAAAGAAAAACAAGGGTGAAGGAGAGGGAAGAACTAAGAAGCACTGGAAAAAAAAAAAATAGGAGGGAAAATGTGGTGCAATGCTGGCACAAGCATAAGCTGTCAAACACAATGGCAATGAGAGCACATGCCACTGTCCATGGAGGGGCCTGAGTGGATGCTGCTGACCATGGAGGTAGTGGAGCAGGGACAGGGTGACTGGTCTGCAGGATTGATAAAAAGAGGGCCAGGGAAAGAAATTAATTAAAAAAGAGGAAAAACAGGTGTGGGGAGAGGGAAGAACTAAGCAGAAGAATAAAAGCAGTGGCGTGCTGGAGAAAGTGCTAGCTGTCAAACACAGCTGTGGTGGGAGTACAGTGTTTGCTCCACAGGAGCACACACCCCCAACCAGAGAGCAGCGAGGCTGGGAACTGCTAACCCTGGGTTATTGGGGAGAGACACTAACTCAAGGTGAATAAAAAAAAAAAAAATCAAAGGACAAGGAAAGAGGAAGGGAAAAAAAATAAGAAAGGGAAAAAAAATGGGTGAGAAGAGGGAAGATCTACAAAAAAAGATAAAGATTAAAGAAAAGCTAAAAAGTGGGAGGGTGTATCACTGGCAGTAGGGTGGGGTTTGACCAGCACAAGGTGGGTTGGGGTAGAAAAGCTGCACCTCTGGTCACTGGGAGATTATGCAAGAAGAGGGGAGAAAACACATCTCTGGTCACCAGTCACTGGTGTAGGTGCTGATACTGTCCTGAGTAAACAGAGTCGGTTATCTGGCTCCTGCTCCAGTCACAACATTGCTTACAGTAAGTAATTCAAAATGGCCACTGTGTGCCAACTGACAGTTTTCTGCTCTATATGCCTCCTTGTTTGTTGTTTTTCAGTCTCTTCCTCTCATTTTTTGACTTACTTCTTTATCCCCTCCTTTGAAGCTCTAGGTTTAAGGACTGCCATCCATATCTGTCTCACACGTCTTTGTTGTAGAGAGTCTAGATAGTCATCTGCCTAGTTCACCATTTTGGATCTACTCCCCTGGGTTGATTTCTTATTGAAAGATTATCTGTAACTTTTAAAAGGTGGCCTATAATCTATAGTTTGAAAGACAATTATGTCCCAGATAAGTCAAAGTTTACTATACCTGTTTTCTGCTTGTGTTATAGATGATTAAGTTTATTTTTGTTTGGATGTGTTCAGTAATTCTGTTTGAAACTGACTATGCCAATCACTAATCTAACAACATCACTGAAACCTCTTATTTCTCATTTTAGAGACTTTATAGAGAAGCTTGGGACAAGGACAAGACTCAAATCCACATCATGCCTGATACACCTGACATTATTCTGGCTAAAACAAACTTAATTAACACAAGTGATGTAAGTTTCCAGATTTAGCATGTGATTTTCAGATAGTTCATTGTGATTGTTGCTAAACCAGTGAAGTTGTTTGGACATTCTTTTGAAACCCTAAATCATCTTAATAAACTCTAAGTGACTTAGAGTCCTTGTATAGTGCCTTTCAGGCTGAACCTAATAATGTTGACACATCTTATCCCAGGAAGAGTTGGTGGTCCTCAGTTCTCTAGTCCTGGTGGTCTGTTTCACACATATCATTGTAACTGAGAGTTTGTATCACTTCTCCCTGCATTTATGGGAGTTCCTCACAGGCAAAGATAATTTGCATGGACTCTGTAGTACTTACCTAGCATAGCATCTGAACCATAGTAGATACTCAGTAATAGCCTGGATGAATGAACATATAATACCCATGCAGAAGAATTCCATCTTTATTTTTATTGTAATCATAGTATAAACTTTCAAAACATATCATTCTAAAAATTAATATTTTAAAGATAAACTTCCAACTCTACTAGAATGACTTCAATAATCATCAAATGTATTAGAGTCATGTCCCAAAGGGTTAAAATTTAGAAACACAAGTTTAAGATCAGTAGCATTTAAAGCAATCTGACTTCTGGAGAAAAAAAAAATTGTTTTTAATTATTGATTATTTAATGTTGTAACTATGTGAAGAAGCAAATTATTTCACTTAAACTTTAAAAAAATTGATATTGAAACTTTCTTCAAAAAATTATATATTTAAAAAATATATATGAAGGACTCCAGATGTGGACCCTACTATGTTGAGTTCTATATTGTAAAACAGGCTCTAACTCACAATGCATTAGCTACATGAAAGTGAGAGCCCAGTTGGCATAATTTTTTTTCTATAAGTTAGTAGGAAAGTCATTGCACTTGTTTTCTAGCAAAAACTTCTAATTAAACACTGAAAGTTCATTGAAAAACTGTCACTAAATGATATTTCATTTATCTATTAATTTTCTCCTGCCTCATTCTCCAAATAATTTGAAAATAAAAACCCAAAATCAAACCTTTACCATTAAGTCAATTCCAAGGGCAGTGAATCGTTCTGAATACAGATAGCCACATCTTTCTCCTGTGGACTGGTTTGTGGGTCCAAACCACCAACCTTTAGGTTAGCAGCCATAAACTTAACCACTGTGTAATCAGTTTGGGAATGGCTGGCATTTAATTTTGTTGTCTAGTTAATTGAAGAGCTTTAAAATTCAAAATAGAATCATTAGCAATCAATTTTCAAATTACATTTGAGTATCTTAAAATGCAGATACCATCCTCTTGTACTCTTAAAATATTTAGCACATTGGGTCCATTATACTGCAGTTCTTTATGGAGAACGTTTTTTTCCAAAGTGAACTTCTTTATCTTTTAACAGAAATTTTACCGTATGGGTTATGAGGAGCTGAAGAAAAAAGGTTATGATCTTCCACTTGATGCCATACCAATCAAAGCAGCCAAAGCATCCCGGGAAATTGCCAGCGAAGTAAGACTTTATCCCTCGGCTTATATTGATTTGATTGCCTTTTATTACTTCAAAGCAGTCTCAATTTCATTTTAAATTGAACAAAATCTTCTAAGGAGTAACAAATTAAAACAGAGTGAAATGATCCCAGAGGTGCAGTGTAGGGTGAGAATAAGATCAAGGATGCATTTATTATGCATTTAATTTGTAGTTGAATTTAGCCTTTAATCCTTTCTATTAAAAATTGAAATGGTGGCTCTTTAGGTTCTTAGTAAAATTCTTAGCATTAATGTACTTTGTAATTTACCACAAATGAGACCAGTTGTTTTTTTCTCCTTTAGTACAAGTACAAGGAAGGTTTTCGCAAGCAGCTGGGCCACCATATTGGAGCCCGGGACATTAAGGATGACCCCAAGATGATGTGGTCCATGCATGTGGCCAAAATCCAGAGTGACCGGGAGTATAAGAAAGACTTTGAGAAGTGGAAGACCAAGTTCAGCAGCCCAGTGGACATGCTGGGGGTGGTGCTGGCCAAGAAGTGTCAAACTCTGGTCAGTGATATAGACTACAAGAACATCCTTCATCAGTGGACATGCCTGCCTGACCAGAGTGATGTCATCCATGCTCGGCAGGCCTATGACCTCCAGAGTGATGTGAGTCTAAGGTTTTTCTTTAGCCAACAAAACACTGTATCTGCTTCTCTATCAAAGTGATCTTAAAGTGAGGGCAGTTTAATTTGCACAATAGGTATCTACTTTCCTGTATGAATATCTTAGCTCTATCCAGTCACCCAAACACCTGTAGATCAATATTCCCCAAAGAAATAGCCAGTAATGACCCCGTTTCTTTGGAGAAAGTCTCTTTTACTGTGTGGAAAATGTTTCTCTATACGTTTTTATTTAAATCGTTTTCAAAACTTTGTTTCTAATTGCAATGATTTCTTGGTTCACAAGATGTACCAAGAATTACAAGCTCTCACAAACTCAAGCATTAAAATAGATAACAAAAAAAAGTAATTCTTCAAGGGTATATGGCTTTGCTTACATCAAGTGGTTTATCACTTGTAATTTCAGAATTTGTACAAAGCTGACCTTCAGTGGCTAAAAGGCATTGGTTGGATGCCCAGTGGTTCTCTTGAGGATGAGAAGAACAAAAGAGCTACCCAGATTTTGAGTGATCATGTTTATCGTCAACACCCAGACAAGTTCAAGTTTTCCAGCCTTATGGACTCCATTCCAATGGTTTTGGCAAAAAACAATGCTGTTACAATGAACCACGTAAGTACTTTCTTTGCTTTAGTTCTTTTATTATTATTATTATTTTTTTTTTTTTTTGCTTGTTTGTAGAAACATCAAGATCTCTTTCTATAAAAGTAAATTCATGTTCAAATTTTTTTGGATGAATTTCAAAATGGTTTATACATAAGGATTTATACGTTCTAATGATGTGAGACACCTAGGCCTGAAGGTTCTGTAACTCAGAGAGAAGAATCTTTATTTTAACTTATTTTAATGTGACTATTCATTACTGGCCTGAACTAGTAACATCTTTTTGTTTGTTTTAGCGTCTATACACAGAAGCTTGGGATAAAGATAAAACCACTATTCATATTATGCCAGATACCCCTGAAGTTGTACTAGCTAAACAAAACAAAATAAACTACAGTGAGGTAAGTAATATACTCATGGCATATGAAATATTTCCCTTACAATGTATGTTATAAGAGAAACAGGATTATTTATGTCTCTTTTAGAAACTATACAAACTTGGCCTAGAAGAAGCTAGAAAGAAAGGTTATGATTTGCGACTCGATGCCATTCCCATCAAAGCAGCCAAAGCATCTAGAGACATTGCAAGTGAAGTAAGTACCCCTGAAAAGTTGTTCAACTTAACTTTGGCTAAAAATTTTCCTTCTCTCTATGAGATTTATCACATAGCAAGTAAGCAATGAGTTAACTGTCTCTTTTTCAGTGAATAGTTTAAAATGTGGTAATGAAATTCTTATCCCAAAGAGTAAGGTCAAGGCATGATTAGGTACATAACAAGATGCATTTCAGAACATGTTTCCTGAACAAGAACATTGTCTACATGACTACAGTTCAGACATTTAATCTTTAAATTGTGGCAAATATGTATGAGGGGGCTTCAAAAATTTTATGGGAAAAAAAATCCATTATCTTTTCATTCCATTTTTTCACAAGCTTTTTGAAGCCCCCTAATAAGAGTCCTGGTGTGGCGCTGGGGCTAATGTGTCAGACTGCAAAATCATTTGAACTGCAAGGTTGGTGGTTCAAGCTCACAAGCTGCTCCTTGGAAACCCTATACAGGGTCGCTATGGGTCGGAATCGACTCGATGGCACTTAACAACAACAACAAAAAGCACATAACGAAACATGTGCTAGTTCAACATTTTTCACATGTAGAATTCATTGACGTTAATTATGTTTGTCGTGTTGTTCAATCATTGCAATTATCCATTTCCAAATTTTTCCATGACCCATAACAGAAATTCAGTGTTCAAGTCTCTGTGACTTTCCCACATGATGTATATCCTGTACAAAATTGAACTCATGGAACCCATGCTCTATGAACCAAAGAACCTGCATGGTGTAAATAAATGAGTCATATTATTCTAATCAAAGTTCAACCATACTTGATATTGTTGTTGATAAGTACCATGAACTCATAGTGACCCTGCACAGGGTTTCTGAGGCTGTAAATCTTTACAGGAGCAGAACGCCTCATCTTTCTCCGGCGGAACTGCTGGTAGTTTCGAACTGCTGACCTTGAGGTTGGCAGTCCGACTCGTAACCGCTACGCTACCAGAGCTCCTTCTTGAGGACCCTATATTTATGTCTGCATCCAGTGATTGGCTGATGGTATTTATTTTCTTCAAAAGATGGATTTGGTCATATTTCTAGAAATTTTTATCTTCTGTTTCCTATTTTTTCCAAAGAGTTTTTCAAAAATATGGGAATATTTAAAAAGTAAATGTTTAACCATCAGTGAAAGATGAACTATATTATGGTATACCCATATGATGAAGTCCTAGTGTGGCACTGTAGGATAAGCACTAGATTGCTAACTGTAAAGTTGGTGGTTCAAACCCACCTGCCACTGCTTGGAGACCCTATACATGATTGCTATGAGTTGAAACTGACTCAACAGTAGTGTGATGAAATACCTGCTATCATTAAAAATAACTGCTGAAGAATATTTAATGGCAAAAAGAATGCTTATAACTGAAAATTGCACATACAATCCTATGCACAATATGACTCATTCTTATTTTATAGTCTCTCTCTTTCACATACATAAATACACTACAAAAAGCTAACAATTTTATCAGTAATCTGAATAATAGAATCATGTTTTAATTTCATTTTCTATTTTGTACTTATTTAAGATTACTTATTCATTTTCTAAATGGTTTACAAGATGCACAAATTATTTCTATATTCATTTTTTTAAAAGAAAAGGAAAATTTGAGTTTATTTTTACTAAAAGTGAAAATAGATGATTATCAGACTCTTTCTTCTTCTAGTTCAAGTACAAAGAAGGCTATCGCAAGCAACTTGGCCACCACATTGGTGCCCGAGCTATACATGATGACCCCAAGATGATGTGGTCCATGCATGTGGCCAAGATCCAGAGTGACAGGGAGTACAAGAAAGACTTTGAGAAGTGGAAGACCAAGTTCAGCAGCCCAGTGGACATGCTGGGGGTGGTGCTGGCCAAGAAGTGCCAGGCCTTGGTCAGTGATGTAGACTACAAGAACATCCTTCATCAGTGGACATGCCTGCCTGACCAGAGTGATGTCATCCATGCTCGGCAGGCCTATGACCTTCAGAGTGATGTGAGTACTGACATTAAAATAACATACAAAGTTAAAAATCAGTGAATTAAGTTTCCTTGGGAAAGTGAGCAATAGATAGCATCAAGTTCACTAGCCCTGCAAGTGGGTGTGAGATATCGTTTATGTTCTTTCCTTATATTTTTAATTCTTTAGCACTTTGAACCAAAATAGAATATTTTCTGATACTCTCCCTGTCCCTAAGAGGTCCAGTTGGAGCTTGATTACTAAAGTTTGGTGGATCAAACTCAACTAGCCGTACCACAGAAGAAAAGACCTGATGATTTGCTTCAGTTAAGATTGTTGTTGTTGTGATGTGCCATTGAGTTGGTTCTAACTCATAGTGACCCTGAATAGGGTTTCCAAGGAATGGCTGATGAGTTTGAACTGCCAACCTTGAGGTTAGCAATCCAGTGCTTATCCTACAGCATCATACCACTCCTCAGTTAAGATTACAGCTAAGAAAACTCTGGGAAGCAGTTCTATTCTGTAACACACAGGTTCAACATGAGTTGAATGGCAACTTACAACAACGCTCTAACTGTCCACCAAACAACATTCTAAAGAATATTTTTACTTTTACATCATGTCCTTTCAATGAAAATGCTTTTCTAATGCAGGGATTAATATTTATTGACTCTGTGTCAACAGAATCTGTACAAATCAGATCTTCAGTGGATGAAAGGCATTGGCTGGGTGCCCATTGGCTCTTTGGATGTGGAAAAATGTAGACGAGCCACTGAAATTTTGAGTGATAAAATCTACCGCCAGCCACCAGACAAACTGAAATTTACCAGTGTGACTGATTCTCTGGAACAAGTGTTGGCCAAGAACAACGCCCTCACCATGAACAAGGTGAGGCTTCAAAATTTAAAGGCTTTTAAAGCTGAGTCAAAGAAAATGAATTATCATTGAGAAAAGAAATAGAGCACTGGATCACAAAAGCCACCTACATATCTGTCTGTCTGTCTATCTGTTGTGTTTATGTTTTAATATTTACTTCAGTTATTGTTTCATGGTTTTTATAATATGGCATGCATCTAAGGAAAAATAATCTTAGCTAAAAGATGTCAGCATGTGTTTCAGATTATTAAAAGATACATATGTAAATGTGTGTCTTACTGTAAACCTATGTTTAATCTTTCTTTATCTTGTTGGAAAAGTTCTTGTGATCTTGAAATTCTTATTAATTGCAGGCCGCATATTTTTTCCTAATTACTTTGTATGTTTTCTTTGATAGCGTTTGTACACAGAAGCCTGGGACAAAGACAAGACCCAGATCCATATAATGCCAGACACACCAGAGATTATGTTGGCGAGAATGAACAAAATCAACTACAGTGAGGTGGGAACTGTCACTAATTCTGTGACATTTGCATACTCTTACTTATGTCATTAAAAGGAGCTCTGGTAGTGTAGTGGTTACGAATCGGCCTGCGAACCTTAAGGTCAGTGGTTCGAAACTACCAGCTGCTCCGCGGGAGAAAGATGAGGCTTTCTACTCCCGTAAAGATTTACACCCTCGGAAACCCTGTACAGGGTCGCTATGGGTCGGACCCGACTCAAAAGGCACTTAACAACAACTTATGTCATTGAATCAGTTCCATAGTGGTGTAATACTAAAGGACCGCTTTGGAGAAAATCTCTGTACACAACAACTCTTGCATCTCTCAGTCACCATTATAAGTATCAAATTTCAAGTGATACAAATTATCATTTAGGAAGTGCAAATTATAAGAAATAATGTAACTGATAACATTAATTACATGTTTTTTTAACTAATGATTGAAGCTAAGAAATTAGTCATAGACCAAATATATATGTATCTCTCCTTTATGCTACATAGCTGTGATAAACAAATCATATATGATTTGTTGCTCCTAAATTATAATTTAGGGTCAAGATTAAGGATTTTGATGTCTAAGATTAAAGTTGAAGACTAAAACAACATTACCACAACATGACACTGAAGAGAGAGTGAATGGGGACTTATTACTCTGTATAATAGCAACTCTATTTCTTTTTGACTTTCTGTGGATTTAAAGCCATGTAACCCTTTTCAGAATCCCAGAGTGTAAGGCAGAGAAGCCAGCCTCCCTTCCAGGATAGGAATCCTCACCCAGTATGTTGTGATTCTGCCTTGGCTTACATGTTCTTAATGACAAGAATCATTATTCATATGTCAGTCCAATCATCCTGAAAAATTCCATTAGAAAGTGCTTCTGATCTATTGAGTCACAAGATTTCTCTCTGAAAATTCGCATAGTCCTCTGAAGCTACTCAAAACAAATTTTCTCCTACCTCCATGTGATGAAAATGCCTACCACACCATTTCTTCTTCCCCTTCCCACCCCACTAGCTCCTTAGGTTCTCCTTATTTTAATGCCCAAGGTTTCTAGTTATCCCCCATCCTGTCCCATGACCACCCTAATTTCTCCTCATTTAAATGCCCCAAGTCACATTCCTGGTAAAATGTGGCTCTCAGAACTGAACAATATACTACGTGTGTGAGTTCATAGCAGCATACCAGTGTAGAATGCAGTTGATGTCACATTTTCTCTCCTGGACATTTGACCTCCATTTTTTACAATCTGTATTTCAAGGTCATGTGATAGCTATGACACTGATGGTTCACATGGAACTTGGGATCAACTTAAATTCTAAGACATTTTACCTGGGCTAGGTTGCCTTGATTCTGCACTTACCCATTTGGTAATTTAAATCTCAGCTCAAAGCTTGCCATTTATCTCTCTGCAAATTCATCTTGTAAGGTTGAGTCTTATGTTTTAAACCTATGGAAATTTTTGTGAATCTAAGATTATGGCAGCTGATGTATTAGTTATGTTTCCAAGTGATAGGCCACCAACAAGGAAAATATTGTTTCTTTGGCAGCATAAATCCACAATATATTTCTCTTCTGTAGGACACAATTTAGAGAGTTTGGATATAATAGCCACTATCTTAAGTAATTCTATTTTAGGTGGTATAAACTAATGTTTGTGCTTGTAAAACTAGCTCTTATTTGTCATAAGAAAATTGTAAGAATGGAGTCCTCACTATCAAATCAGAAAGGATTGAGTTTTGAGCTAAACCAATAGTCAAGACTGTTGCACTATATATAGCAAATCTGTTGCACAAGCCCTCTTTAAAGTGTTCAACAGTAAAGACACCAGTCTGAGGACTGAGGTGCACCTGACCCAAGCCATGGTGTTTTCAATAGCCTCATATGCATGTGAAAATTGGACAGTAATAAAGAAGACCATAAAAGCATTGATGCATTTGAGTTATGATGTTGGAGAAGAAAATTAAAAGTACCATGGACTGGCAGAAGAACAAAGAAGTCTGTGTTGGAAGAAGTACAATCAGAATGCTCCTTGGAAGCCAGGATGGCCAGACTTCATCTCTCATATTTCACACATATTATCAGGAGGGACCAGTTCCTCGAGAAGGACATCATGCTTGGTAAAGTGGAAGATCAATGAAAAAGAGAAGATCGCCAGCGAGATGGGTTGGCACAGTGGCAGCTGCAATGGCCTCAAGTGTAGCAACGATTGTGAGATTAACACAGGACCGGACAGTGTTTCATTCTGTTGTGCATAGAGTCTCTATGAGTCAGAACTGACTTGACAGCACGTAACAACAACAATATAACATAATCCTGTACTATCCCTATCACAGGAGCTCTGGTAGCATAGTGGTTACGAGTCCGGCTGCCAACTGCAAGGTCAGCAGTTCGAAACTACCAGTGGTTCCACCTGAGAAAGATGAGGCGTTCTGCTCCTGTAAAGATTTAAAGCCTTAGAAATCCTGTGCAGGGTCACTATGAGTCGGAGCCAACCCCACGGTACTTACCAACAGCAACAACAATCCCTATCACATTGGATCCTGGTGTGGCACTGTAGCATGAACACTGAAATGTTGACTATTCAAACCTACCAGCTGGCTACTCCTCGGAAACCCTATACAGTGCAGCTATGAATTGGAACCAACTTGATAGTGCTGAACAACAACCATACTATATGGTGCTATAGGATAAGCACTGGATTACTAACCACAAGGTCAGCAATTCAAACCCTCAGTAGCTCCACAGGAAAAGATGAGGCATTCTGCTCCTGTAAAGATTTTCAGCCTCAGAAACACTGTACAGGGTTGCTGTTGAGTCAGAACTGATTGAATGGCAATGGGTTTGGGTTTTTGGGTTTATAGTCTATATCCAGTCTTGTTCTAAAAAAGTAATGCATTGTATATGCTTCATCATGAAAGGTGTTCCAGGAGTCAAAGAGCCCCTGTAACTATCCTCTCAGCATTTCTTCAATTGTGAACTGTCTTTGTTGTAAAATCTCAGACACTAGAGGGTTGTTGCCAGTTCAGATGAAGTCCAAGGAGAATGGACTTAACAAATGCCTACCTGGTCTGCCTGCCTTGTATCTCTGTCTTTGTTCAATTCCATTGTGTTTCCTTCTCATTCAGGGCAGGAAAGCAACGTGCAAATTTAATGATGTCACTCTTTTCCTCACGAATTTATGTTGGTTTCCTATTTTTTGTAGAATTAAGCACAAACTCCGTTTGCCATTCAGTTCTTCACAATATAACTTCAGACTTCTTTTCAGTCCTCCTACTATTTCTTCCTTGGACTGTAGAGCCTTCTTTCAGCACCCCTGCACTTTCACTCCTATGCATTGAGTCACACCAGTCTCTCTATCCTTGGCTTCTGTCTTAGGAGCTCTGGTGCCACCGTGGGTTAATCATTGAGCTGCTAACCTCAAGGTCAGCTCTGCAAACTCCCTAGTCACGCTGCGGGAGAAAGATGAGACTGTCTGCTCCTATAAAGATTTACAATCTCAGAACCTCTGTGGAACAGTTCTAGTCCATCCTGTAAGATTGCTGTGAGTTGGAATTGATTCAGCAACAGTGGCTTTTTGCTCTGGTTTTCACTGCCCTCCTGTTGTAGCATACTGTTGAGTAGATTCTGACTGTATAGGGTTTCCAAGAGTGGCTGGTGGGTTTGAAATGCTGACCTAGCTGTAAGCTGTCCAGTGCTTAACCTACAGCACCACTCCAAGGCTGCAGGATAAACACTGGACTGCTTACAGTCCTCGACTGCCATCTTAGTCTATTAAAATCTGACTTAACCACTCAACGTCCAACTTCAAGATCACCTCCTCTCCAAAAGCTTTCCTGATTCTTAATTCAGAAGAAATTACTCCTTCTTGGAGCTCTTTTAATGCTGTAGTTAAATCATTTATCACAACTTGTCTTTCAATAGTGGATTTCATAAGTTGTCAGTCTTTCTATCATCTTTGCCGGAAACCTTGCAGATAGGGGAGGTCTCAGACTCATCTTGGCTTCCCAACTAGTAGGCATAGTCATAGGCACAGAGCCTGTACAGAATAAATGTGAATTGAACTCATTGTCATGATAAACAGTTATTCAAGTTTTTTTCTCCTTTCCATATTTTGTCAGCTTAGACCTGTGGGTTTTTACTTAACTCAACATCGTAGGACTTAATAATTTTATTAATCATTTTTACTTAAAAAATTAAAACAATGTGTGGCAAACACATTTATATACAGCTACTTAAGCATAAGCATACGTTATTTTAAGTGCAGTCTTCTCCATGGGTATCATTTTGAAGTGTCAATGCAGAAGACAAAGAAATCTCACATGTAAAATGATTAAATACAGGTGCCTCTCCGTGTAGAACTTAGTAAGTTATTTCAGTCTTCTGTCAGATTTTAGAATAAATGTCAGCATCTAACTTTTTTCCCTCCCCAAATATAGAGTCTGTATAAACTCGCTAATGAAGAATCAAAGAAGAAAGGCTACGACTTGCGGAGCGATGCCATCCCGATTGTGGCAGCCAAGGCCTCCAGGGACATTGCCAGTGATGTGAGTGATCGATTTTACCTGGAGGATGTGATCAGTCTGAAGTGGTATTTCATTGAATTAACTATTAAAAAGAATTTTCCAGGATCTTTGAAAATATATTCTAATACATTTAGTATTAAAAAAAAAACAACTAATTTGGGGAAAAATGAAAATTTTGATGTACATCAAAAAGGTTTGCAACCTGTGGAACATAGTATCTTCGGTGAGACCTAGACCATCCACCAAGAATAGAGAAATATCCATTCTTGTATAAAATGTTAACTGCAGCTGTGAGTTTGGAGATGTTCATAAAAATCACCACTGTGTTTGTACAAAGTGTAATACATGTAAAGGTTCGCAGTGAGAATCACTGCTCTATGTAGCATTTCTATATACAATCCTTAAAAACACATATGGCACTTGCCAATATAAATCAACCCTGTAAATCTATGAAAAGAAGATAGTTGATTAGTACCAGAGGCAGCTACTGGCCCAAGCTTGTACGCTTGACAATAGTGACACATACGAAGAGACTTCAAAAAGTTTGTGAAATGAAAAGATAATGCAATTTTCCCACAAACTAATTGAAACTCCGTTATGCTTTCATAGTAAGCACGTATCATTGCCTGGTGCCTCAGGGATTCTTGAGCAACAGATACCTGCTCTCAAAATCCCAGTACTCGAGAATATGTTTAATATACTGTCTTTTCTATTGGAAAATTTTGTTAGTGACTTCTTTCGTTTATGTATGTTGTGAAATTCATTTCACAGATGGAGTTATGCCAATAGTAGTAAATAATGAAATAACTATTGAGACTGTTCGTGCATTCTCTCTCTTAAGCTTCAGAGAACTCTGGGATGGAGATGATGCACTATCCCCCTTTTGTGTATTCCTTAAACAATTTGCCTAAAACCACACTACTTCTAAATGATGGACACCCTCATTCCTTGTCATTGTACCATACTGCCTCCTGCTGACAGATATACTTTCTCACTCAGTCATCTTTGAGTCTAGAGTCATGTTATTTTTTATAACAGCTCCAATTTTAAGGATGAAGTCATTGGACATGGAATAGTTAAAACATGGTTGACCCAGTGGGACTCGTGACTCTATTTGTAGTATGATCTAACCAGCTGGGTTGCTGAGTCAGCTTCAGTAGTACAATTGGTTTTCAAAGTGATGCCAAAAAATTGAGACCTCTACTGAATGCATGCATTTTTTATGATAGAGCAATTTCTCTATGTTGCTACTGCAGGCAGTCCTTCACCTTGCAGGACCCAGCCACTCATTTTGTTGCTTATTTTACATACAAAGTGAATCTCTTTTGTGACATGCTTTTAGTGCATAAGATCAAATTATTTTAGGTTCCTGGGTTCAGATACCCTTTACCCCATGACCACAGGTGATCACTCAGGCCCACTTCCTGCCTCAGAACAATTCCTTTTGACTAGATCATAGGTGATTTTAGGTTTAACTAGATAGAAATTCCATCTATGTTATGTATGACCCAAGTTTCCAGGGTGAAGGCCAGGCTTGAGTTGGTGCTAATTAGCAGAAGTCAATTATACTGTGACTTATGCAAGATAAATATCCACAAACATGTAGCCTCTAAGGACTTATAATAAAAACCTGGTTTGTATATTTTCATCTCAGTACAAATACAAAGATGGTTACCGCAAGCAGCTGGGCCATCACATTGGAGCTCGGGACATTAAGGATGATCCCAAGATGATGTGGTCCATGCATGTGGCCAAGATCCAGAGTGACCGGGAGTACAAGAAAGACTTTGAGAAGTGGAAGACCAAGTTCAGCAGCCCAGTGGACATGCTGGGGGTGGTGTTGGCCAAGAAGTGTCAGACCTTGGTCAGTGATGTGGACTACAAGAACTTCCTGCATCAATGGACGTGCCTGCCTGACCAGAGTGATGTCATTCATGCTCGGCAGGCCTATGACCTTCAGAGCGATGTGAGTCCAGTAACTATAACATAGTCATTATAGGAATCATTTAAACTATGTGAGAATTATCCTTTATGATCTGGTAGCCTCTCAGGCTAGGCTTTATTGGACAGTGAATAAGATTTCAATTCGAGTTTAGTTTTATTGCTTTATTATGATGCATGAAGAGTCTTCCCATTGGTGTTTTATAAACAGAACTTGGTCTTAAAAGAACAAAGCTGGAATGAAGCAATTTAGAATTCAGAGTCCACCAGAGGGAGACACTTTCTTTTATTCTTTTAAGGGGGAAAAGCAGTAATTGTTCTTTATTTTAAAACAATTACTCTGGAAATTGCCTTTGGCTTCATTGTAAAACAGATGAGATTGTAATTATTCGAATGCCGTTATTGCTGATTGCCATCATGCCAGCTCCAACTCATGGAGACCATAATACACAACAGAACAGAGCATTGTGCACTCCTAGATTATCTTCAGAATTGTAAACTTGTTTAAATCCATTGTTGCAACCAATGTGTCAATCCATCTCCTCTTCATTCTTCCATGTTCCCAAGTTCACCTAGCACAGTCTCCTCCTCTAGCAATTGATGGTCCTAGAGTGAGAGCCCTAAGAAAGCTGTCCTGATCCGTAAGGTTTTCATAGGTTAATTTCCAGAAGTGGATTTCCAGGCCTTTTCTTCTTAGTCTTAGCCTGGAAGCTCTGCTAAAACCTGTCTACCATGAGCTATGGTGCTGACATTTGAAAGACTGTTGACATAGCTTCCAGCATCACAGCAACACACAAGCCATTACTATCTGACAATGGGCAGATGGGTGGTGGGTTAGCATGTTAGTGCCTGCTAAAAAGCTCAACAATACAAGGACTCAATTTGCCTTGTAACTATTGTCATTTCAGTAGCACTTCTTGCCTCTTACTGGGACTGTCTTTGTGAAAGAGTCACAGAGTGATACTTGGAAAAAAAAAAATCTCTGTGATAAAGACAGACCCTGGAACCTACTGCAAACAGATGTCCTATCTCAATCTTTACGTGAGCAGCCAAGAGTTTTAACCACTGCATCATCAAGCCTCTTTACATTGTGAATTACATGTGTAAAATCCTCTAAACAGTTTCTATGACTCCTAGTGTTTTAACTTTGATAACTAGTAGTAAGGCTCAAACCTCCAACTGAATGCTTTATATACAACACATTTCCTGCACTATATATTTTATAAATGTTTGCAGGAATTATTAAGAAGTAGAGGGCTTTGAAGAATAAAACACATTAATAACAATTATACATTAATTGACTATTCCTTGAAACTATACAGCCCACGTATGGAAACGCCTCCATCTGTTCTGTAGCTTTCAACATACAGAACTCTGTGTTATAGTTCTCTCCAAAAAAAGGCTTTGCCTACACATGAAAAGTAGTTCACAATGGTTGATGTCACCCAGGAAATGACAGCGTTGACAGGTTGCTTTTATTTTATTTATTTTTGTTTTTTTTGTATATGATTTTTTTTTTTCTTTTTTGAAACTTTTTATACTGAATTGAATGAAGATTTACAGAGCAGATCATCAGTTTTGTATCTCAATGACTGCAGTCCCCTCTATGTAACAACAGCTATCCCACCTCGTCCCTTTAGTTCCTATTTCCCTTCTACCCTTCTTCACATTGACCGTCCATTTTACCAAACATGATGTCCTTCTCCAGGGACGGGTCCCTCCTGACAGCATGTCCAAAGAACAAGAGACGAAATCTTGCCATCCTCACTTTCAAGGAGCATTTTGGCTATACTTTTACCAAGACAGATTTGTTTGTTCTCCTAGAAGTCCATGGTACTTTCAATATTGTTCTCCAACTCCATAATTTAAGTGCATTGATTCATCAATGGTCTTCTTTATTCGTTTTTCAACTTTCACATGCATATGAGGCAATTGAAAATATCATAGATTAGGTCATGTGCACCTTGCTTGCTAGAAGCAAAAAGGACTCAAGAGGTAGAAAATTTCATTGTCTTTTTTCTTGTTGTTGTTATTTAGAGGGCAACAACCAGTAAGTTTTGGGCAATTCTAATGGACTTTTTAAGTACATTGCAAAATAAAATTTATATTTTCTACTTACTTGATGTTAAGAAACGAAAATTTCCCAACTAGATTTAATTCCATTGTTGTGGAGTAGTTATGAATTTTTAATGGAAATATACTTATCTTAAGTAGGAAAATGATTTCAAATAAAGTTATAGGGAGGTGATTCTGGAAAGGAATTCATGCTTCCTGTCCTGAGAAGTTGGCGGAAAGAGGCTTTGGGCCAATGAAATGCTTATTTACTGCCCTGAATCTTAAACAGTGCTATAACCATCAAAGTTCTGCCTCAGAGCTCAGAGGTTCTACATCATTATGATATTTTAGTTTCTTCTTTATTAAAAAGAACATAGTGTAAATTTTGAAATATCAAATTTTAAAAGTACATTGAAGACAATTAATACTCCAACATTACTCAGCTTCCAAAATTGTCCATTCCTTACTCATATAATATTTATATACACATGGTTTTATGTAATATCTTTTTCATTTAATATTATTTTTGCATGCCATTCTTTGATGGCTTTTAATAGCTGCAGACTATTCCATATTGCTAGTTCTAAAGTTTATTTATGGGGCACTCCGGAAATTAAGACTATTGGATTGGGCTAATCTGATGTAAAAGTGTTAAAAAGAGAAGATATTACTTTGAGGACTAGAGTGTTCCTACCACAGTCATGGTCTTTCCAGTCACCTCATATGCATATGAAGTCTGGTATGGTACCGTAGGATAAGCACTAAACCACAAGGTTGGTTTGAACTGCAAGGTCAGCCATTCAAATGCACCAGCTGCTCCTCCAAAACCCTATACAGGGTCAGTATGAGTCAAAATTGACTCAATAGCACTAGACAACAACAATATGCATGTGAAAACTGAACAATGAATAAGAAAAATGAAATAATTGATGCGTTTGGATGGTGGTATTGACCATGGATTGCCAAAAGAACAAACAATTCTGTCTTGGAAGAAGTAAAGCCAAAATACTCCATAGAAGAAAGGATGGTGAGATTTTGTCTCATGTACTTTGGACATACTATCCCAGGAGAAGGACATCAGGTTTGATATGATGATCAGTGAAAGAAAGGAAAATCCTGAATAAGACGGAGTGACACAATGGCTGCAGTCATGGGCTCAAAGAGCAACAATTGTGAGAATGATGCAGGATTGGGTTCTGTTTTGTTCTGTTGTACATAGGGTTGCTATGAGTTGGAATTGATTCAACTTTACTTAACAAGAAGTACAACAACATAATTTATTGACTGACAACCTGTTGCTGGATATGTATGTGGTTTCTCAAACTCTGGCTTGGCATCCTGTTCCTGTGCACTGACTGATAGAAGATGTTAGTTGGGATCACCCCTTTGCTAAAACCCTGAAATATCTGACAGTTTTTGTTGTTGTGGGTAGGAGATGTTTCTGGATCATTTTAAAAACATGGGTCCTCTTTTAGTCTGCCTAATACAGGAAGTTTGTTTCTATGAAAAGAAAACAGATGCACTTGATTATTGACTCCATTTCCATGCTTACTTTAACTCGTTTAGTCTTGATGAAGCATAACTGTCATTTGTTTTCTCTTTGCAGAACATTTATAAGTCAGATCTCCAGTGGATGAGAGGCATTGGCTGGGTCCCCATTGGATCTCTCGATGTGGTCAAGTGCAAGAGAGCTACAGAAATACTGAGTGATAACATCTACCGCCAGCCTCCAGATAAGCTGAAATTTACCAGTGTGACTGATTCTTTGGAACAGGTGCTGGCCAAGAACAACGCCCTCACCATGAACAAGGTGAGCCCCCACTGCCTCAAGCACACTTTTCCAAGATGCCAAAAGATGTTATTACCCTTTAAAAACCTTTTTTGTTGTTGTTTAGTGCCATCATGTCAGTGCGACTCACAGAGACCCTGTAAAGGGTTTCAGAGGAATGGCTGGTGGATTTGAGCCACTGATCCTGCAGTTCAAACCTACTTTGTGGTCCAGTGCTTATCCTACAACACCACACCAGGCCTTTAAAAACCAGTGGGATCAAAATTATCCATGATGATGTAGAGCCACATTCACTTTATGAATTGTTGTTGTTGTGTGCCATCAAGTCGATTCCAACTCATAGTGACCTAATATGACAAGACTAGACCTGCCCCATAGGGTTTCCTAGGCTGTAATCTTTATGAGGAACTCCTGGTGTGGTGCTGTAGGATGAGCACTGGACTGCGAACCACAAGGTCGGCAGTTCAAACCTACTAGCTGTTCCTTGGAAACCTTATACAGAGTTTCTGTGAGTCAGAACTGACTTGCCAGCATTTAACAACAAACAATAACAATCCTTATGAGAGTAATTGCCACATCTTTTCTCCTATGGAGTTGCTGGGTGGATTTAAACCATTGATTTTTCAGATAGCAGCTGAGAGCTTAACCATTGCTTCACCAGGGATTCTTGCATTGTGAACTGCGTATTTTAAATCCTCTAAGGTCAGCAGTTCAAACTCACCAGCCATTCCTCAGAAACCCTGTACAGGGTCGCTATGAGTTGGAACCGACTCCATGGCACTTAACAACAACAAGAAGAAGCAATTTATCTTATTCCCAGTCTTTTAACCTTGATACTTAGCAGTAAGTCTCAAGCCTTCCATTGAATACCTTAGACAAGTCTTATTTATTTTCCTAATAAGGTCAACAATACTTGTGTTTCAATTTGACTTTCTGTAATTCTCATTTTAAACGTCTTTCTATCAATACTTTATTTTCTGCTATAGCGCTTATACACAGAGGCCTGGGACAAAGACAAGACTCAAATTCACATCATGCCTGATACACCAGAGATCATGCTGGCAAGGCAGAACAAAATCAACTACAGTGAGGTAGGAGCTCAATCCCCTGATGCTACACTTAGTTTTGCGGCTGTTGTTCTATTTTGTTTGTGTTCTTTTGCTTCAAATATTTTTGTAGAAATACTCAGGTCTCATCTATCATAACGCTTGTGGTGTTTTTCATACGAACCCTCAGTCATCTGACCTTTCACCTCTGAGGTGATTATAAGGCATTATAGGATTCCACAGGCAAACGGAAGTCATGTTGTCTTTTCAGATCTTGTCTATTGCCAGTGTGGACCCGTGAGACTTTGAGTAGCACTTTTGGCATTTACAAGGGATAGAGTTGCCAGATAAAATATATATAAGTCCATTTGACACATAAATATGCTTAAAAAAATAATAATTCTTCACTGTATATCTGAAATTCTAATTTTACTGGGTGTGTATTTGCTAAATCTGGTAACCCTTCCAAGGGGACCTCCAATGATGTGCACCTCTTCCTCAACCTAGGTTCTAAAAAAAAAAGAGAGAGGACTAAAGCAAAGAAATAGAACTAGATAACAAAATCTCACTTTTTTTTGTTTTTACTATTAAAGCTAAAGAGCACATTTGCTGGAGAGTCAAATGGCCCTTCTAAACTGAACCCAGAATTATGTGCCCCTTCAGCCACAAGCCACACTGGAGCAGGACAAGTTGCCCCCTCCCAGGTGGTCTTGCTTAAAACATAGAGAAGCAGAGAAGGGCTCTAGGCTTGTTCCTAGAGACAGAAGGAGCAAGTTGAACTGAGCATGCCCAGTTATCCCATCCCTGCCAATTAGATAAGTGAGTGAATCACCATCCTCTCCAAGGGCAGAGTGAATAGAGCAGAGAAAAGCTAGAGTCTGTAGAATTGAGATCCTGTTATAGGAAGGAAACCTGTTTCTCCATTAACAACACTGCTCACTGATTTTTCCAAAAAGCCAATTTTCTAGATTCATGTTTTACTAATATGATATAGCCAAGATTTAAAATCTTGCATCTATTATTATAGTTGACTATGCTTGAAATCACACTTGAATTTTTTCTTAAAAAAGATTAAAACATTATAAAATATTATATGCTTGATATAAAAATTTTAAGTACTAAGATGAATAGAAGTGCATATATTTTAGACATAAATGAATAATAGTAAGTACATTCCTCTGCAATGTTCTTTTCAAGTAGCTTATATATAGATTGTTGCTTGTCCATATTAATACCCATTGTTTTATCTCATTTGTATATTGGCTGTATAGTATTTTTTATATGAATAGTATGTTTACTTTCCACCATTGCTAGATATTTAGGTTGTTTCTAGTTCCTATTCTTTTTGTATTTAAGTGGTATAAGTCACTTGAGAATACCAGAATTATTGCTACCAGACCTTTTGACTTCACTCTTTGGCTTGATTTTTCTACAGAGTCTGTATAAACTCGCTAATGAAGAAGCAAAGAGTAAAGGCTACGACTTGCGGAGCGATGCCATCCCGATTGTGGCAGCCAAGGCCTCCAGGGACATCGCCAGTGATGTGAGTAGAAACACTTCAGATAATAATATAGAAGAGTGAAGTGAGGGAGCACAGAGTTACTATGACAGGAACATACATTTGTGTTCCTGTTAGAGAATATTTATTGACTTATCTTATTAAATCAAAGAAATGTTTTTCATCTGAGGAAATGCTTTAATATTTTTAACTCCAGAAAACTTGAATAGCCAGGTTCCATGAGAGGAGGGGGGTGTTCTAAACATTCTTTTTCAATACAAACTTGTATGTGTGTCTATAATTTTCCATATCCATAATTATGAGAAATTTATCTCCACATTACCCACACAGTATGAAGAAAATGCCAAAAGAATTTTTAAATAACCTGGTTATATGTATTGATTCAAAATCAGGCCAAGATCTGGTCTATACCAGTCTAGAAAAATGTGCCTTTCCCCAATCCTGCTCAGTGTTTTTGCCAGCTCTTTGAACAATTAACCGTGTGCTCACATTTGAGTTCATTTTAAATGAAAACAGAATGACTTAAACAGAGACAATGAAATAGTGAAACCAGACTTCTCATTCCACTGTCTCTGAAAGAAGGTCCTTTGGTGGAGAATTCAGACTTCTATAATATACTAGGATTTGTGTGTCGTTGGTGCCCAAAACAGAGAGTAAACATCCCACTCATAGTCAACCCACTGTACTACCATTATCAACATGCTTTCTTCTATGTGTACAATCTGGTTCCTCATGTCGTTTTTAATTGTGTGTAACCCCAAACAAACCTCAGTCAAGTATGAGCTCAGCTGGATGCAGAGGGAAACACAAGCTCAGGGCATGCAGAGGGAAACACAAGCCAGTCCATTTCAAGAGATCTCTCATTTAAAGTCCTTGGAGTCAAGTAACCCAGTGAAAGACAGCAAAGAAAGATTTGGGAGGAATTGTAGATGGGCGGATGGAGTCCTGGTGTAGTACTGTAGACTCTTCACTGGACTGCTAACAACAAGGTCAGCAGTTCGAATCCACCAGCCACTCCTTGGAAACCCTATATAGGGTCACTATGAGTTATAATCGACTCGACAACACTAAACAACAAAAGTGGTGACAGTGGCTCCTCCAGACACAGGAATAGCACTCTCATGTAACCCCAATAAAAGGAGCTCTGGTAGCGTAGTGGTTGCAAATCGGGCTGCGAACCTCACGGTCAGCAGTCGAAACTACCAGCTGTTCCGCGGGAGAAATACGAGGCTTTCTGCTCCCGAAAAGATTTATAGCCTCAGAAACCCTGTACAGGGTCGCTATGAGTCGGAACAGACTCCATGGCACATAACAACAATAACAAACCCCAATACAAAAGTATACAATAATAATGGCTGTTAGACGTATTGCTGTCTTTCTTTCAAGGGATTGTATGTCTGAAAATCATAGGATTTATGTATGTCTTCCCATTAGATTCTTATTTGTGAATTCTAATTGAGGTTTAGATGAGACGAGAAGTTGGGGCTCAGATGATCCCATTTCTCTAGATAATTACTAATTACATTTGTTTTTTTATTAATAGACTTTTAGTTCTTTCTCTATTCATTTTTACTTTTTAATGATTTTTATCCCCAGTACAAATACAAAGATGGTTACCGCAAGCAGCTGGGCCATCACATTGGAGCTCGGGACATTAAGGATGATCCCAAGATGATGTGGTCCATGCATGTGGCCAAGATCCAGAGTGACCGGGAGTACAAGAAAGACTTTGAGAAGTGGAAGACCAAGTTCAGCAGCCCAGTGGACATGCTGGGGGTGGTGCTGGCCAAGAAGTGTCAGACCCTGGTCAGTGATATAGACTACAAGAACTTCCTGCATCAATGGACATGCCTGCCTGACCAGAATGATGTCATCCATGCTCGGCAGGCCTATGACCTTCAGAGTGATGTGAGTAACCAAGACCTGCTATTGCCATTGATGACCACACTTGTGATAGTAACATGTAGTAACACATAAACAATGGCTTAGGTTGAGATAGAACTTTCAGATGGGCTGGTGTTTCTTTTTCTCTCAGCTCCTTATTCATTGTACTTTTCTTTTTTCTTTGTTATGAGAACATAATACCATGAAGTTATATCAAATTTTATATTTTGAAAGATATGGGATTGTAGTTTAACCATCCATGTTTGCCAGTCTTTTTCTTCCATTTTTTTTAAACCAAGAGTCATAACAGTTTCAATAATCATTGCTTTTGTGTTTGATCTCACCAGAATGTTTATAAAGCTGATCTCCAGTGGTTGAGAGGCATTGGCTGGGTTCCCATTGGGTCTGTGGATGTGGTCAAGTGCAAGAGAGCGGCAGAAATACTGAGTGATACCATCTACCGCCAAGCCCCAGACAAGCTGAAATTTACCAGTGTGACTGATTCTCTGGAACAGGTGTTGGCCAAGAACAACGCCCTCACCATGAACAAGGTGAGCACTCAATCTGGGCGAAAACAATAATAGGGTCTTTGTCATTTGGAATATCTATAACTAATTATGTTAATCTTTTATTTTGTTTTATCTAATTTGTCATCCAGTGTATACTGACTTGACTGAGTTGTCTGTTCAGATATTAAGGCTTCTGGAAGCATATGCAGAAATTTTGCTTTGACATTTCATGTGAAACCATCAGAGTTTGAATAGGGCACTTATTTTGGGTTCAAATTGTCTGAAATCTATGAAATTTGTACATAATTTAGTATAAAGGTTACTGGGAATATATCTAGGTAAGCATAGAATAAACAACTCAGCTGCATGCAAATTTCAGTCAGCTGGTCTGCAAAACACAAAATCGGGTGTTTGAACCCACCAGCTGCTCTGGGGGAGAAAGATGAAGCTTTCTGCTCCTATGAAAATATGCAGCCTGGGAAACCCTATCCAGGATTGCTGGGAGTTGGAACCAACTCAACAACACTTAAGAACAACATATACATATTTGTTGTGGTTGTTAAGTGTCATCCAGTCATTCCAACTTGTAGCAACCCTGTATAGGGTTTTTAAGAAGCGATTGGTGAGCCTGAACCACCAACTTTGCATTTCAAACTGACTTTTCAGTCCAGCACATTAGCCGGTAACACCACATACATATGCATATATTTCATATCAATCCTATTTAACTTTTAGTGACAATATCCTGTAATATCAAAGAAGTTGGAAAAATGCTATTTATACATGAAGGACAGATAGTGAGGAGGCTAACTTCCAACTTTGTAATGAAGTGCTGGTGTGGTACAGTAGGATAAGCACTAGAGTGCTTAAGGTTGGTGGTTCAAACCCACAAGCTGCTCCTTGCAAACCCTATACAGGGTCTCTATGAGTGATTTCCTGCTGGGAATTCCTATTTAAAGTAAACATTGTTTTTCTAATACATTAACCTTTATTTTTCACAGCGCTTATATACAGAAGCCTGGGACAAAGACAAGACTCAAGTCCATATCATGCCTGATACACCTGAAATTATGTTGGCCAGACAAAACAAAATAAATTACAGTGAGGTAAGACCATTTGTTTTATTTCCTTGCTCTAGCCACACTGATTTTTACTGATGTAGTAGTAATGCTGAAGTTATAGCTTGACCCTGATGTGTGCCAGTTACCTTAGGTTTTTGTTTTGGGGTTTTTTTTTATGCACATTACTCTACCTTCATTATACATATCTTTATATTGAAAAAAAAAAAAAACAGATAGATGAACGATAAATCCATAGATAAACCCCTAATGTAGGGGAAAACCCTCAAAGTCAACTATTAATGACTGAAATATATAGTTGACCATTGGACAACAAGATTTGTACTGCATAGGCCCACTTACACGTGGATGTATTTTTTTAAATTCCGTATGAAGCAAATCATTTCCACATAAACAGTTTATCTCTCCACCAAATTGCATATTGCAGTACAAAGTGATGTCTCATGGTACTGGCATATTTCCCATCATATTTACTGCAATACCATAAACTTTGAATAACACCATGGAACTCACACAGAGTGCCACTAGTGATGCTGGAAGTGCTCCCAAGATGCAGAGCAAAGTCATGACATTACAAGGAAGCGCTGAATTGCTTGATATATACCACAGATAGTGGTCTGCAGAAATAAATCCAGCCTAAGGATCATTGTAAAAAACAGAAAAGAAAAGATTTATGAAGCTGTTGCTATAGCTACTCCAGCTGACATGAAAACCTTGCACTTTCCATGAAATACTTGCTTTTTAATTTTGTATTGAAAATGCAGCTTTTATATGAGTGGTGGTGGTAGTTATGTGCTGATACCAGTATATAATATATATAACATACAAAATATGTGTGACTCGACTGTGTATGTAATTGATCAACATTAAGCTATTGGTAATTAAGCTTTGGAGGTCAAAAGCAATGTTCAGATTTTCGATCATGCTGAGAGTCAGTGTTGATCCTCATGTTGTTCAAAGGTCGACTTTATTGCCATCTAAAAATTTTTAAATAGATTATTGCTAATTATTAAATTGGAGACTTGGTGTGGCACTGTAGGATAAAGCATTGGACCATAAGGTCAGCTACAAGGTGGGCATTTCAAACCTACCAGCCACTCTTCAGAAGCAACTTGATGGCACTTAATAACAACAAAAACAATTATTAAATTAGCATTTGCCTCCAAATTTGTTCCATGAGTCCATAGCTATCTCAAAAAATTTATGTGATGATAAAACAGAGTAGAATATGTCCAGCATAGAACCAGGAGCTGCATAGTTACTCAGTAAACGTTAATTTATTTCCTTCCCACTCATGTCACCAGGAAAATTGGATTCATTTAGTATGCTTAAAGCAACTGGAGGTGTACTTACAATAACTGAAATGAGACTTCTTAAATTCATCCAATTAAAAATTCCCAAGGACAATAATAGAATGCATTCCTTTATGAACTATATTAAGCCTCAGTAAATATGTCATTACATATCTTTGCAGTCCAACAATACTACAGCATAAAAACTTTTAGTCCAATTGTCCTAAAGCCAAAGGTTTATCTAGTTTAATCAAGAGGAGTATTGATTTCGTACATGTGTATGTGACTTAATTTAAGTAGAAAAAATTAAAAGAGGGAAGATTTTCCTTCAGTTGAGAAGACATGAAAATTTGAGTATGCATTTTCAAGACCTGACCATACCTATTGTTTTCTCCTTATTAGTTACATTTGCTGTAATAATGTAGACCATGCTTATATCAAATAACCATGACAAATGAAATGAAGAGGATATAATTTCCCTTTCTTCAACATTATAAAGTAGACCCAAAGACAAGCCTGATCATAAATATTTGATTGGCCGTGAATTGGATCATTTTTTAATGAGCCATTTTTCTCGTGGCCACTGAACTTCTCTGTTGGATTATTGTATCCCAGGAGATCTGTCTTACCCTGACACATGAAGTTTGTTTCCCAGACTGTGATGAAGTTTTTAAGCCTCTCCCTTTCACTAAAGTAGCTCAGATGAGGAAGGTTGTTTTTTTCCCTATGACAGCAGAAAGGAAATTAGACTTTAATTTGGGGAGATAGAGCAGCTGGGGACTTTGGACCTGGAGAGGGAGAGGGGCTGTGTGCTGACGACCGAGGGGGGGTAGGGGGCAGGCTGGGAGGGTATACCCTTTGGTTAATGGATGATGCATGGAGGGAATTATAACCATGGCAAGGAAACAATATACAATGGGATCAATGTGAAGCTAATGTCTTCCCATGTAAACTATCACATAATTCACAATAAAGCATTAAAAAATTTTTTTCTAACAATTTCATCTGGATTAACTTTCTTTAAAAATGCCTGACTATGTGAATTCCCTAAGAGCTATCTTCTGAAGATTAGATTTCAGAGTGATCCGTTTGAACCTCTTCTCAGTCTTTTTCCAGTGATATCTTTGTTCCATACTTTTGCTCAACAAATATATATATATATAATATAAACATATATATTTTCTTGTTATTAAGTGCAATCTAGTCGGCTCTGACTCATAGCAACCCTGTATAGGGTTTCTGAAGAGTGGCTGGTGAGTTCATACTGTGAACCACTCTGTGGCGCCACACCGGGACAATTATACATATATACATGCGTCAGAAATAAAGTGTGAAATAAAGATAAAGCCATTGTTATATTTCCTTTAAAACCTCAAGTGACTTCTAAACTATTTTCCAGAACTATCCACTGGTATTATGTCTGCTTTCACCAATTCAGTAAATCTTTTCATAGAGGGAAAGGAAAAGGTTTTCAGTTAAAGATTAAATTTATCAATCATAAAATGATTTTAGAGCCTTCCTTCTGTCTTGGCATTAGAGGTGAGTTGCCTTCAAAGTTGTCTCCCCTGAGGTTATAAGAAGATTTTCCAAGGGGTATTCCAGCATGGATTATTCAACTTCCATATATACTCTTTTCTAAATTTTCTCCCTGAGAATTCCCATGAAGTTGAAGTTATGTTCTACTTCCTCTTTTAAAGCCATTCTTCCTTCACTTCATCCTCTAGCCATTTCTAGCAGTTGACAAGATGAATAAATGAGGAGGAAGTCAATATTAGCAGAATAACTCTTAGATTAGCCTTGAGTATGGAATTGAGTGGCCATATAGGGAGCTCTGGTAGCGTAGTGGTTACGAATCGGGCTGCGAACCTAAAGGTCAGCGGTTCGAAACTACCAGCTGCTCCGCGGGAGAAAGATGAGGCTTTCTACTCCCGTAAGGATTTACACCCTCGGAAACCCTGTACAGGGTCGCTATGGGTCGGAACCGACTCGACGGCACGTAACAACAACAACAACATAGTTATTATAGAAGCATACTCTCTATTAGAGCTCTGGCAGCATAGTGGATTTTCAACTGTGCTGCTAACCACAAGGTCAGTAGTTCGAATCTACCAGATGCTCCATAGAAGAAAGATGAGGGTTTCTGCTCCTATAAAGATTTATAGCCTCAGAAGCCCTATATAGGGTCACTATGAATCGAGACCAACTCTACGGCATGCAACCACCAACAACCAATCACTCCCTATTAGAAAAACTGTCTCTAATTCAAATTTGGTTTTAAATAAATCAACATTTCTTGGTTGTTTCATGAAAACAACAAGGGTTGAACAACCTAAACAAATTTGAGAACTATTGACTTAATGTTTAAAATCTATCAGAGAATTATGTAATTAAAACCTGCTGAATTTGAATTTTTTATTTAAATGAAAAGAGAGGTAGAAATATTGTATGAGTTAAACTAAACATGCTAATATGGTCTGCACTCAAAATCGTCTTCCTTTGAGCAAACATACATTTTTAGAGTGCATATGTATTGTATCTAATGGCCACTCTTTCTTTCCTCAGAGCCTCTATCGACAGGCCATGGAAGAAGCCAAGAAAGAAGGCTATGACTTGAGAAGTGACGCCATTCCCATTGTGGCTGCAAAGGCCTCTAGGGACATCGCCAGTGATGTAAGAGCTGATCAAATCCTAGTATTTGTTGCCAACAGGCCAGCCTTCTGCATAGGAAATCACACAACTAGAATATAGGTGGAAGTCACTACCCTAACTCCTTTCATTGTATAAGCAAAGAAATTGAGACTTTGAGACAGTAAGTAGACAACTTGCCCAAGATCACAGCATCATAGTGGTAATGTCAGGGAAGGAATGGTCTTCATGCCTTTGGTCTTTACTTCGTACAAGAGAATGCCTTGAATAAAGTCAGATGGACACATGTTGTGCCCTGGTGAGTTCTCATGATAACACTCAAGGGAAAAGAGCCAGGAAAGAAACAGCCTGGTGGAGTTCCCCTCCATCACTTGAAAAAGGACATAAGATAGCAAAATGGTTGACAGTCTCCTTGCTGCAGGATCCATGGATCCTGATATTTCTTCCCCTAAATATGAAGACATCAGATTCCTGGACAATTTAAAGACTAATCTGAGAGTGGCAAATTTGTTCACTTTAAAACTACCCTCTTCAGATGATTTGTGCAGAGACGATTCTCAGAATGTCCTGGGGCAGAGAGGGAATGCAGGAACTGTGTAAATACATTCCTCATGTGTGTTCTCTGTTGGGTTCGCCCACATGATACAGTTAGGAGACATTACCATGGATTATTTTTGAAATTGGGCTTACCCTTTTAATGTTAACTTTCTATCACTTTTTGTTCACATGTAATTTTCTAGCATATTATAAAGGACTCATCTGTGGTAATGTGCACATTAACCAGATATCTTTTTCTTTGGGTGTAAATATGTATCAGTGCGTAACATTACAGCAGCAAGCTTTATGAAACACCCTAGGATTTCACAGAAAGCCTTCACCATGGAAATAACCATAGGGAACATCCCAGAGTGTGCCTCCTTACTTACTGAATTCTTTCTTCCAGTATAAATACAAAGAAGCATATCGTAAGCAGCTGGGCCACCACATTGGTGCCCGTGCCGTACACGATGACCCCAAGATTATGTGGTCCCTTCATATTGCAAAAGTGCAGAGTGAACGTGAGTATAAGAAGGAATTTGAGAAATACAAGACAAGGTACAGCAGCCCAGTGGACATGCTTGGTATTGTTTTGGCCAAGAAATGTCAGACCCTGGTCAGTGATGTGGACTATAAGCATCCCCTGCATGAGTGGACCTGCCTACCTGACCAGAATGATATCATTCAGGCACGGAAAGCCTATGACCTCCAGAGTGACGTAAGTATTCTTGAGGCTGGTTTTGCACGTTAAATAAATATCTGAAACATGCCTGAGGATTCAGACTAGAATCAATAGATATTTTTTTGTTTGTTTATTTTGTTGTTGTTGTTGTTAAGTGCCGTCGTGTTGATTCCAACCCATAGCGACTCTATATAGGGTTTCCGAGGATCAGCTGGTGAGCTTAAACAGCCAAACTTGCAGTTCAAACGCCTTTGCAGTCTGGTGCAGTCTGGCCCATTAACCCACAGTGCCACACCAGGACTCCTTGTGTATTTTAAGTAATCTATAATTGAATCCTTGGAAAGAGTTTCCCTTGGGAAGCCCTACAGTCTTCTAAAAATTGTTTCTTTCTACCAGAAATTATATGTAAAAGAAGGAAGAAAAATAAATATTATCATTTATATACAGGCACATATCTTCCATAGTCCCTGAGTGCTATAAATGATTAATTAACATGCTCTGCTGTGAACTACATTTTGAGTCCAACCAGAAATTCCAGGGAAGAAAGATGTGGCAATGTACTACCCAAAAATTAGCCACTGAAAACCCTATGGGGCACAGTTCTATTTTGACACACATAGAATCCACTCTACAGTAGTTGGTTTTTATATGTATTTTCCTAGACCTCCAAGTATCTATTGTCTTGAGTTACAGAAAACTAAGTGTTCAAAAAATATCACTACATCTTTTTGCTAAAGAGGTGAATAATAGGTGTGTGTCAGTAGAAGGAAGTATAGAGAGAATGGGAAGATAAATTGTTATTGTTAGGTGTGCTCAAGTCCACTGTTTACTTATAGCAATCCCATGTGACAAAGTAGAATTGTGCCATCAGGTTTTCTAGACTGTGATCTGTATGGGAGTAGGTTGAAAGGTTTTTCTCTTATGGAGAAGCTGGGTGAGTTTGATCATATTTAGCATGTGCTATAGGATAAGTACTGGACTGGTAACCGCAAGGTCAGCAGTTCAAATCCACCAGCTACTCTCAGAAACCTATACAGGGTCACTATGAGTTGGAACCAACTTAACAATAATAACACTGAGGAATCAGTCACTGAAAATTCCATGGAGCACAGTTCTACTCTGACACATATGGGATTGTCATGGATTAGCGTCAACTTGACAACAGCTACCTTTACTGTTACTGAAAATGAAATAAAATGAATGCTGTATTAGCTTTATAAAGTCATGTTTCTTTTACACACTTAATACTTTGTGATTTTTGAAGATCTCAGCAAGACTTTTTGTGATGCATGTGGTATTAGTCTAAGTGTATACTCTCTTTTAGAGAAACTCTAGTATATTTTCCAAGACAAAAGAAGCTCTGTTTTTGTATAATGGGCATATGATACACTCAAGGGTAGGACCATGTATTTTACTTAAACAAAGAAAATCTTTCATCATTTTTAGTACAATCTTCTGTACCCCCAAAATGCTTTTGTGTTTTCTAATATGATCTATTTTGTGACTGAGTCAGAGAAACTGATGAATACATGTGTTTCTTATCTGTTGACATGCAGAATTTGTATAAGTCAGACCTGGAATGGATGAAAGGCATTGGCTGGGTTCCCATTGGTTCCGTAGAAGTTGTTAAAGCCAAAAGGGCCACAGAGATACTGAGTGATAATATCTACCGTCAGCGTCCAGACAAATTCAAATTCACCAGTGTAACTGACTCTCTGGAACAAGTGCTGGCAAAGAACAATGCTATAACAATGAATAAGGTGAGTCTTCTCATCTCATCATTAGATTAAGGCTTTTAGCAATGAAGAAATTAAGATTTCTGATATATTATTACATTTTGAAGATTGTGATAAAATGTATACCTCTTAAAATGATTTTTCACTTAAACGTGCCATGTTGTCTGTGCTCTCATGTCAAGAATCACTGCACTAATAGGAATT